CTGCAAGCTCTGCCACACAATAAACAGATTTTTAGGTGGCCCATCATGGTGGGAAATGTTTCTGATCATTTTCACTAGCAATAGATCCTTAAACTTCAGAGACCCTCTCATGAGCACCTTCAACCCATTTTCTTCACAGATAAGCAACACAATTCTTTAGTTAGCAGAAAGACTAAAGCAAAGAGAAATGAATTCCAGAGCAATTCTTCATCTGAACATTCAAAGAGCATTTTCATTAACTATGGGAGTCAGTGTGTATAAACACTGATTTAAATCAATTACACATGCGTATGTAATTGCTGTTTGGTTATAGTTTTCATTGGCCAAGAGTACAGTGGGTTTGGGAAGAAGTCCAACTTGCACCATCTTCTTCCTTGGTCTTGTGTCAAAGGATAGGTTCACACTTTGATTTCCTATTAACTTGACTTGAAACCCTGTATAGCCCTCACCATCTTGCTTTGACTGATTTTCCTCTATTCTGCCTTACTTGATAGTACCAAGTTTGAAAGTATAGGCAAAACTGTGAAGACAATAAGATTCATTATGATGCCCATCCCAGTTGACTATTATCTTCTTTTAAAGTCCTGTAATATTTTGGTTTTATTCTTTACTGTTTTGTTCAATTTTATTATAACTGATGATAATAGGCAATTCTTTTTAAGATAGCAAGAGGCAGTATGGTAACCATTGTTGATCACCTTGTATTTTGTTTTACATTATCTATTATGCCCATCATTTTGATTTGACTGACTCTGTTCTGTTATGTCACATTTGGTTTTACTATCTTCAAAAAAAGTAATAAGAACTGTGGGAGTAATAAAACCCAAAATGTGTAATTGTCGTTGTACAAAAGAAAGGAAAAGAAAGTGCTCTATATAATTGCATATATATTTAAGTGTATAAGATAGATAACCATATTACTGAGTTTTGTTGGATCATTGAACAAAACTGGTTCCAGTCTCACTGTTTGAAAGTCCACTTTATATGCTTTAATTTTGTAACTTGAACAACTATTTCTAAGATAACAATATGTAATCTATTAACTAGTGATTTCCTACTGTTTATGTTTTCTGAAATTCTGTATAACTTGTACCCTTTTTCTATTTTTTTTCTTTTTCTCCTTAAATTAAAAAAAAAAAGGATAGGTTCAGTAAGAAATCACACAGGGAGAATCAGCAGCTACCTGAGACCCGGCCATGTTGGGACTTAGGCGGCTACACAAGAAAGCAATTTGCCAGCCCTCTTGGTAAGTGCTGGCCTGGTACTGGCCTGGAGGAGAACCAGTCAGCTGTTCCCATGAGCCTACCTGCATGGCCTGAGAATCAAACATCTCCCCTATCCCCTGTCAGCAACTGGGGACAGAGTTCTGAGCATCTCTTGGGAGGATGATCATATGCAATATAGAAAATATGGGGGATTTCCTTCTATGTTCTGTTTGAAGGCAAAGGTCATTTTCACTGTTATGTTTTGTAATGATTGTTATGCTCTATTCAATATTCTCCTTCAATTGGTTTTACAATGTTTTGTTATTGGTTTGATTTCACTACACGTAATTGACTGGACAACTGTTGTGAAGATAATGAGATATACCATAGTACCTATTACTACTATCCCAGTATTATGCTTTGAAGTTCTGTACCAATGTTACTACATTGTCTCGATTGGCTTTGTTCTGTCTTGCTCTGTTGAATTTTCACTACATTAAAAAAAAAGAATTCAGACAGTTTTTAAGTTTTTTTAAACTATTTGCACCATATCATTCTTATTCTCCATAAAATGCTGAGTTTCCTTAAGGATGTCACAGCAGGAGCCAGGCCTGATGTTGCATGCCTCTAATCCCAGCACTCAGGAGGTTGAGGCAGGAGGATCACTGTGAGTTTGAGGCCAACCTGCACTATATAGCAAGACCTGGTCTCCAAAAAAATATCACAAGTCAGAACTGACAATTTCCTCAATCTCTGTTCCTTCAAAATGAGGTGGATCTTTAGGATTGCTTGACTTTTCTTTTTGAATAAAATGTATTTCTTGTGGATCTTGCTTCTTGATCCATTCTGCCAGTCTGTTTCTTTTGATTGGCAAATTGAGACCATTAACACTGATGGTTATAACAGATACGTATTGACTTATCTTTGTCATGTTATTTTCATGTTGTTGGCTCCCCCTTTCCTTTCCTTCCTCTATTTAATTGTTTGCCTTGCTTCCTTCTGTTGGGTTCGTGGCGTTGTGGTCCTTGTTATTTTTTTCTAGAATGTCTTTCATAACATTTTAGAGTGCTAGATTGGTGTTCATGAATTTCTTTAGGTGTTCTTTTTCATGGAAGTATTTTATTTCTCCATCAATTTTGAAAGATAGTTTTGTAGAGTACATTGTCTGGGTTGTAGGGTACATCGTTTTTTTAGGGCTTGAAATAAATTCACTCTTAGCTCTTTTTGACATTAGGCTTTGTGTTGAGAAGTCAGCTGTGATTCTGATGGGCTTTCCTTTATAGGTAATTGGTTTCTTTTCTTTAACAGCTTTTTAATATTCTCTTCTTGTGTTGAATTTCTTGAATCCTGATTATGATATTCCTGGATGTAGATTTTTTTATCATGGCTAATTGGAGTTCTACATGCCTCATTTACCTGTATGTCAAATTCTTTTTCCCTACCAGGGAAGATTTTTGCGGTGATGTCTGTGAACAGGTTTTTAATAATATCATTTATGCTATCTCAAGCTTTTTCATTGACCCAAATCAACCTTATTCTTTGCATCATCTAGTAGCTACTGATAGATTTCTTGTGGTCCCTTTTTTTGTTGTTTTATTTTTTTGTTACTGGGGATCGAACTCCTGGCCTCACACTTGCCAAACAGGTGCTTACACTGCTAAGCTAAATCCCTAGCCCTGGTCGCTTGCTATTTTTAAGAAATCTTTCATTCCATGATAGATAACTGTAAGCCTGTCTTCTGTATCTCAGATTCTGACCTCACATGGGCTCATTTTGCTGTGCATACTTTCAGTGTAATTTTTAGGCTCTTATATAGCTACTTGAATCTGTTTTATGGATTCTATTTCTTTCCTATGTTGGGCCTTCATGGTTTCCATCATTTTCCTAAGCTCTCTATTTTTTAAAATCTGAATCTGTTCTAGAGTCATCAAGCATGTTTTTTGTTATAGTGACCATCTCTGCAGTTAGCTCATTAATTATTTCTGATTTGATTATTTTCTAGGGCTTCATTCATTTGCTTTATTGTTACCACTTCAGAAAGGCCAGGTGGGTGGCTTTCATATTGTTCCACCTCATTGCCCCCTGGGTTTGCCTTTAATGAGATGGATGTTTCTGGTTGTGTCTTATCATCTTTTCTTTCTTTTTTAAATTTAATTCTTGATTTGATGTTTGTAGATAGTCTATGATGAGTTGCTTTATCATTAGTATTTAGAACTCTAAGATCCTGCCTCTTCATTTTGTTGGGGATAAGAGGTTGCTGTCTGCTTGGCCCAGCCCCTAGTTCAGTGGCATTGGCTCATAGTATTTTCTGTGACCTTTAGGTCTTGGTATTCCAGGAAGAACAGTTGGTTAGAACCATTATGTCACTTTGGCTAAAGTGTTATAATCAGCAATAATAGTAGCATCAAACACAGCCTAGAAAATGACAAACTGAGGTAACTGTTAATTTGCCATCTTTAATTGTTTGAACTAGATTTGTGATAACAACATTTAAAACAAACCAGAAAATTGTATGCAAGAAATAAGCCCTCCATATGCCAATTTTACCTTCAGGGAAAAAAATTTAAAAAGAGGTTAGGGTAAATATTAGGGACATATAAGATGATGAAAAGATTAAAAGCAAAGCTGAAAAACAGGGGAATCACACAAACTTTGAGAAACTGGTGCAGAAGACATAAGGGAAGAAGAAATAAAAGGAAGAATAGAACAGAATAAACATAAAGAAACTTGAAACCACAAAAAGACAAAATCATACAATGAAAGAGAAGAAAAACAAGAAAAGAGAGCGAAAAAAATATCCACTTCTATGTCTGTCTCTGTGTCATTGGTAGACAACATGTAGAGACAAAGTTCAGATCTGGGTTTATTTATCCCAGCATGTGGGCGATATCCTTATGGTGGGGTAGTGGATAATCTCAGTAAGCATGCACTTTTATTTCTCCTGAAACTTAGGCTGGTTTCTATGAGTCTGGGACCAGACCCATTCAGTCTGCAGCAGTCAGTACACTTTCTGTTGGCTTGAACTCAGCTGGCAGCCGCTAAATGAACCCAGCAGTTGTTCTGAGTTCTGAGCTCAGTTGGCCCTCTCTAAGATGGCTCCTGGCCAATCACACTCTCAGGTGGGTTGTCCAAGCCCACAGTACTCACCATCAGGAGTGCAGTCCTCCATATCCACTGTTCCCTTCCACTGCTACATCTTTCCATGGAATCCTCTGGTGTTGCCAGCTGACACTATGTGCAAGTTTGAACTGCACCTCCCACGCAGTAAGTCCTGACCCAGGGAAAGTTTCCATTGGCTGCCTCTTTTTCTTTTTTGTTGATGTTTCTCACTTGGTGCTTCCTGTGGGCTTCAATTCTTGCTTCAGATCCTTCCTGGGTCCAAGGAACCCACTTTCCTCTTCCTTCTCATCCTTGCACAGTCCAGTGTCTGGACAGCAACTGTCAGAGAAGCTCTTTTCTCTGTTGCTTATCACTCTACCATCTTGATTGCTTGATTTTTCTTGCTTTTCTTCATAGTCCTCACAGTGATTTTGCAAATAACATAATAGCTTTTCTTAGTTTAAAGGAATTAATATGTTTATATTCCTCAACTACCTGTGCTAGAGAAGTTAGATCTGGTTGTGCTTTGAGCCCCTCCAAATGAATACTTTTGAGGTCTTTAGTATCCTCCCTTTGCATGGCAACAACTGACAGGCTACACCCAGGATGCCAGTAAACACCGTTTTTGATGAACAGTGTGGTGTCCAGTGGTTTCAGGCTCTTGTCCTGTTCAAAGAATTAAGTGGAGACAACTAATGAACATAATAGTTTAATACTGATTGAAGAGTGATGGTTATTGAAGAGGACAGGAAAAGAAGAAAGAGAGGAAATATGTCCTGCATGCTGGACATACCTGTATGAAGGAAAAGATGAATATGTAGAAAAGGGCCCATGCATTGGTTACAGAGATTGCCAGACTCGGGTGTGACAGTGAATTAGTTCACTGATTGGTTTAGTATAGATATGGGGGTGGATGAAGTATTTCCTGAAGACAGAAAATCCACCCTGGGTGTGGGTGGCACCAACTAATATGCTTGTAGCCTGGGTGAAATAAAATAAGAACGAAGAAGGAAGTCTCTTGTTTCTGTCTGTCACTCCTCTGTGATGCTCCTCTGCCACACAATCCTGCCTTTGAACCATCTGACTAAAACTTCTGCAAACTGTGAGCTAAAAAATATCACTGCTCCTTTAACTTGTGGGTGTTAGGTGTTTTGTCCCTGAAACAAGAAAAATAAGACAACTACATAGTGAGTTCAAGGCTACCTAGCAGACCCTGTCTCATAAAAAGAATAAAGTACTAAGTCTCAGAACTTCTGTTACGGCAGCAGCCAACAGATCTCGATGCCCACGCTGCAGCTGTTTTCAGAGTAGCTGCTTTGAGCTGTGTTTCTGAAATTACTTTCCAGCTCTCACGACCTTGTGTGGTACTAGAACTGCACCAGCATTCGGTCACCAGGTACCCCTCCTCACCTTCCCTTCTGGTGCATGTTCTGCAAAGACAGAGCCACTTGTCCTCCCAATCTCTGCTTTCAGAAGCCAGGGCCCCTGGGCCCTCCTCGTAAGTAGTTCCTTCTCCAGGGCCCTGATTGTCCTAGATGGCACTGGCTGCTCTCCACTGGCCTCTCCTGGTCCTTTGCAAAGTCTCTCCAGGTCTGGCTCAAGTGGTAATTTTCTTGCTTGCCCTCCCCATTGGAAGGTCAGAGTGTCATGGTCAGTGGCTGTACTGTGGTTTCACTTTTGTTAACCAAAAGCCAGTCTCCTCTTCCCCCTCTCAGAGTTCACTAAGTGACTACTCCCTCAGGTGTGGGCTCAGGCAGGGTGAGGACAGATGCTCAGAGGAGCCTAGAAACCCTGCACTGCAACCCTGGGTAACGTAGGCTGGCCTGCTGCTGGCCACTTATTCCAAGGCACCGACCCCAGTGGGATGGGCTCTGGGAAAGCTGAGTTGAGCCTCTGTTCTTCCCACAGCCTGCTGTAGATGGAGGACCCCTAAGCACTTTTAAGCCTGTGTTCAAGGATAATTCAGGTGCCTGGGGGAGTGTGTGGGAAGACGTCAACCTGATGGGGATTGGCCTTCAGACACAGAGGTCAGGCAGGGATGTGCCTAACATGTAGACATCTAAGACACAACAGGGAGAGGCCTTTTCTAATCAGGCCCTGACAAGTAATGGCGTTTTCCACAGGTTCTGCTTTAATTTGACCTTTGAGGTTGGGGCGGGGTGGGGGGGGACGGGACTAGGCACAGGTAAGATTGTAGATCTGTCCCACTCTAGACAACGTGTCCTTCATAGAACAGGAACACCTTTGGAGGTCCCCAGCTGTGTGTTTCAGAGCTGGCCTGCCAGAGAATGTGGATGAGGGATGTGGAGTAGGTTGGCTGACAGAGTGTAGCAAAATTGAAAGCATGGTCCTCTGTGGAGAGCTGAGGCAGTCCTTGGCCAGCAGAGGATGTGATCCAGGTGGCCGAGTTGGGCTTTTCAGGCCATTGTGGGAGTTAGAATTGCATGCGGCATTGGTTAGGCAGAATGGTGGCTTAGTAGACTTATGGGCCGAGCAGGACCTTCGGAGATCAGGCTGGCCAGGCCTGGCTCTGTGTCCCCCAACCCCAGGACCCTAGGAGTGTTACAGTCAAGGTGAAGAGACAAGAACAGTTGTGTGAAAGCAGCTGCTGAGGACACTGCCCTTCTTCCTTGCTCCTTTGCTTCCTAGACTTTAAAGTGCTCACAGACAAGAAGGCAATAGTGTTGTCTACACCAAGTCTGTGAGGAACAGCCAAAGGCTGGGCGGTACAGCAGGAAGAATGTGAGCTTTCAACTGGGCTGGCTTGGTTTGAATCCCAGCCCAGTTCATCCTGGTCACACGCGTGCAGGAAGTGACATCTTTCCTTCGAGCCTTGGTTTCCCCTTTCCTGTAATGGAGGTCGGGGCACCTGCTCTGCAGGGTTGGTACTGAGTGTGCTTTCTCTGTATGACTGAAGCTCTGTCTTCTTCCCTGGGCCCTGGGAACTAGCTTGTTGCATTTCTCCTGTGTCATCTGCTCTTTCAGGGAACACCTTCAGCACCCTGACAGGACTGGTCTTTGACTAGATGACTGTGAGGGACCTAGAGGTGGATAGGTTCTCAGACTCCCATAATGCATTGTGTAAGGAAGGGAACTGGACAAGGCCTGGCTAACTTGGGGGACCTTGAATGGGGGACATCATGGGCCTTTCATGAACCTGGGACCTCACAGCACTGTCAGAGTGGAGTCTGGGATGCTTTTCAGAAGGCTGCAACATTTCCAGTAACTGTAGGGAAAGGGTTTCCTCTTCCTTAGCTGTGCAGCACCTGCCTGTTTCTGGTGTGTTCTGTGGGAGCTCAGTAGAGGCTGGAACATCCAGCCGGTGACAGGAGATGACACAGAGAACACAGTGTTGTCTCATCTCAGGCCTAGGGTATGGGTGTGTGGCCCTGATGAGGGAAGCCACCACTTCCTGTGGGGAGTGGGTTAGAGAGAGGCAGGTTTCAGCTAAGAGAATGGCCAATTGTGCTCCCCAGCACAGGAGCAGGTGACACCTTCAGTGTCTTGACTCATTTGTGCCTGCAGCAGCCACTTGGGCTGGACGCAGCTCTCTCCTCTACATTTTCCAGCCCTAAGAACTGAGACTCAGAGAGGACAGTCATTGTCTATAGAGTTGGTGAGTGACACAGCTGGGATTTGACTCAGCAACACTGATCGTGGCTAGGCAGGGCCTTCAGTTGGGAATTCCAATAGCATCTCAGGTCTTTCTCCCAGAGTGAGATCCTTCCTTGGAGCAGGGTTTCCCAATCTTCTGTCCTCCTAGGAGAGGAGTGAGGAAAGGGAGCTGTGGATCCTGAGGTTTCAGTTCACCTACAATCAAGTTACCTGATTTCAGCATGTCACTGAGAGGACACTGAATCTGCCTAAAGAATCTCTTTTTTCTTCTTTACTGGGAATAAATCTTTGAATTAACACTGGGGTAGAAGATGGTCAGTTGCCCAAGAGCATAGACTTGGAAATGGGGCCCGTTTACCTACTTTTCAAATACCTGATACCTTTTCAAACCCCTTGGCTGAGCTCTCCCCGCCTATCATTTCCAGAAGTTCTGGGCCTTCTGAGAATTCTGCAGCATGAAGCAGCTTGTGTCTGCTTTCTCCACTGCAGGCTTAGGGTTTAGCTCTGTTCCAACAGTCACATCTTCCCTATTTGCTCCCTCATCTGACATCTGTGTTTTCTATTCTGTTCTCTTGAAGATTAAGTATTAGTACATTTTAAACATTCTTCTGGTACAGTTTTAGTGGGAAAGGAGCAAGAACAGACATACGTGGTGTGATAAAAAATACAGTATTTTAAAAAAATTATTACCATAAATGATACTTTGCCATAACTTCCCTCAAAATACTTTCTTTTTGCTCTGATCATACTTATCCCACCCTTCTTGCCACGCTGAAGCAGTTCTGGGAGTCCTCTTGCATGAGTGTCTTCACAAGCTGTGTTCAAAAATAAAATGAACATCTCTGCCAAGTGCTATCCAACAAAAATGTGGGCTTATAAATACATGTCAGTGTGTCTGCATGCACTTTATTCACCAGATCTGGCACTATGTAACTTCTGGCTCTTCCTCAAAGTCAAAATACAATGACATGTGTTTAAAATGGAATCAGGGGTCTGGGGATTTAGCTCAGCGGCATAAGTGCCTGCCTTGCGAGGAAGTGGTCGTGAGTTCGATCCCCGGTACCGATAAAAAGGAAAAAAGACAAAAAACAAAACAAAAAAAAAAAAAATGGAATCAGGACATCAAGGCAACCATGACAGTGCATCTAAAGACACTCACAAAAGAGGACTTCCATAACTAATCCAGAAAATGTGTTCAAAGTAAGGGGCAGTATTTTGAGGGAGATTGACAAAGTTACTTTTATGATAAAAAGCTTTTTAAAGTTTACATTTCCCATATTTTTGAAGTACACTAGTACACTTAACTAGATACTGTGTTCAAGTCATGGAGGACCTTAAATCATTGACACTCACTAGGTACTGAGAAGAAGCCACCTCCATCCCAGGAACCATTTCTTAGTAAATGACACCCAAATTGGCACTCATTGTGAAAGCAGCCAGGAATGATGAAAGGAGCTTTTCACACACCCCCTTTCTCTGAAGGGCTCTGAACCCACACTTCACTAGGAAGCTTCCACCATGGCAGGCCAGGGTCAAATGTAGGAATGGATGAGGAGAATGGTGTTTACTGGCCTTTCTGTCAGTAAGCTCCATCCTCCTTCAGGCTGAGGCAGCATGATGAGCTGGGCGAGGGGATGACTGGTGGAACCCAACTTGTTTTCCCTGCTGCTCAGCTCTCGAACCTCTGCAATGAATCCTCTCATCCCATCTTGTTTGGTTTGCAGCCCCACAGTCATGATTTGGAGAATGCCTAAAATTTTGTCGTCACTTTCCCAGAAACACAGGTGCTGAGCACCAAGGCCACTGCGAGAGCCCACAGTATGTCTGTCCCAGTGTGGCCTGATAATCACTCAGCTCCATCTCTTTGCCTGTCAGGATTCTGCTTCTGCAGGGAATAGGAGGACATTTGTGCTTCCCCAGTACCTTTCCTGGTGAGGATCTGTTCCAGGTGAGGAGGAGCATCCTACAGCAAATCCCTTTAGCATGGACTGCAGTCTTCTTTCTGTGCCACACAAGTTCACACTTTTCAAGGCTGACCTGTCAGCTGGCTATCCTGCAGACCAGGTCAAGCTTTCCTGTCTTTTGTGCAAACAGACAACAGGTTGGTGAGTTAACGAGATTCCTTATCGTTTCACCTACGGCAATTGTCTTGGTCATTTTTTCATCACTGTTGCAAAACACCCAGTCATGACTTAAAGGAGGGAGGTTTATTTTGGTTCACACTTTCACAAGTTGCCAACAAGGAGTTGGCAGGATAGCAGGTGGAAGCAGGGCTCCTAATTTTATTAATCCTTTGACTGTATTTTCATGTCCTGCAGGAAGGGAGATGAGAGAGAAACAAGACTTGAGTGTCTAAGTCTTGATTTGCCTAAATGTTGTCCTCCACTTTCAGGAAGGTGGCATAGTGAGGAGAGGACACACGGCTCTGGTGGTGTCTAGGCTTGGCCGTTGGTGACAGCACAGCTACTCATTACCTATTTTTCTCACTAGGAAAATGGACATTGAACATCATCATGGAATTCACTGGCCTGTCTGGGAGATTAAATCAGATAACACATTAATGTATATTAAGCAATGCCTGGCATGAAGATACTCATTAAATATTATCACCACTATCACATTCCTTAGAGTACCATCACCATTTGAGCAGGATGTGATTCTATAATAAAAATGTGAGCGATTGGTGCTCAATTAGTCTGCTTAATGAATGAAGCTGACCCACAGCAAGGATGGCTACTTTTTTTTTTGTCTTTTTCTTTTTTATCAGTACCAGGGATTGAACTCACAACTGCCTGCTTACAAGGCAGGTGCTTATGCCACTGAGCTAAATCCCAGCCCCAAGGATGGCTACATTTATACCACACCTTATTCTAATGTTATCACTGGCTGCTTTAGTAACAAACCAACCTCAAAATGCCAGTGACTTGATATTTCTTGCTCATGTAACCATTCAAGGTGGGGTGTCCCTATTCTGCAGCTGCCTTTTCTCCAGTTACATCTACACAGCTGACATCCCTACATGACCTAGCAAGAAATGAGTCACACTTACTTGGCTGGAGTGTTAGTGTGTCAGGTGCTTGACCGGGAGTCAAGCTGATGCCAAGGCCTAGGCTCCTTTGCCCTTGCACCCCATCCCCCACGGGCTGGAGTGCACTGTGTCCAGCACACAGAAAAGGAGCAGCTAAGAACAGTGCTCACTTAAATACACAAGTCATGTCTCACGTCCATTCACATTCCATTGCTAAATATGTCTGAATGGACAGCAGGAAAGACTGTCCCTAGTGCTACCAACGGCACACTATGGAGATTTGGACTGCCTCCAGGTCACAATAACACAGTTATTTAGAATGAGAGGTTCTGTTCATTTTCTTCCCCATAGGCTCAGAGGTGAGGGTCCTGGTTCAGAGTCACAGGTGACAAGTGGTAGAACTAGGACCAGATCTCTCTTCTCCTGACTCCTAGCCCCAGTCTTGTCCCTCCTACTGTGCCCCAGAGCACACTGTCCCTTCTACGGAGTTTTACCAGAAAGTTTAACTGAACAAGATCTCATCATTTAACAGATTATTGCAAAACCACAGCAGGGCACTAGGCACATGGGTCCTAAGGTATCAGTGTAATCTGGTGGTCAGTATGAGGCCCTAGTAATTTCTATGCTGCTCGTGGTGTGCTAGGAGTTAAAGCACCTGGCATATGAGTGTGCTAGGACCTCTGTAACAAACTAGAGCAGACTATACAATTCAAACAACTTATTGTCTCAGAGTTCTGGAGGCTAGAAGTTCAAAATTTTTTAAGCCGTCAGCAGTATCAGTTCTTTCTGAAGGATGTGAAAGAGAACCTAAATTTCCCTCCTTCTCTCTTGGCAGTCTTTTGCATTTCTTGACTTACAGGAACATCATCTGTCTGTTTTAGACACAATGTAGGGGGATTTGGAAATAGTCTGCTACTCAGCCAATGTGCCCAAGACCCCCAGTCCAGTACCCTGACACACTATGGCCAGGTATACATGACTCATTTCTTGCTAAGTCATGTAGGGGTGTCAGCTGTGTAGATGTGACTGAGAAGAATATGAGATTATTCCAAATAGTGAACACGAGAAATTCTATGTTTACAGCAAGCTAGTTGACACAGATTCATGTTTCTCACAGGTTAATACTCAAGTCCAACATGAAAGTCTGAGTAATCACTTGTCATTTTTATATTGTTACATGAAAACACTGATCATTCACTGAGACATGTATTTTTATATGGTTTATTAAGTTCTTACAGAAATCTTACAAGATGAATGGCATTATATTCCCTTTTTACAGATGAGATAACAGAATTTAGAAACTGGTGAAGTTGTAGACCACTGTATTACTTAGAAGCACTTAAAAACAATGCATCAAAATGTTTCTTACTTTTGTTCTTATGTGAGCCCCCAGATTTCCTTAATATGCTTGATCTAGGGAGACAGGGGGTCAGGCACAGATTTGACACAAAGGTTTTGCAAAATACTTTTTTCTTTGTTTTGTCCACGGGGTCAGTTTGCAAAAGTAATTGTTTCCAAGCATCTTTTCCTCAAGATGAATACTGAAACAGCCAAAAATTCACTACTGATTAGGAAACCAAGGGACAAATCTTTAATAGGAAAAACAAGATGATACAGAACATGGACGCTAGGAAGGAGACCTGAAAATATTTTGCAACCAAGAAACTTTGTCAGCTCTTTTTCCTTTTTCAGCAATCAACTTTCCATGGGGTTGGACTCAGCAATCTCAGGTGAAGAGGATTTCTCCTACTCTTTGGGTGGTCCAGGGAACAAGCAAGAAGTATTTCCCACACTGCAGCTAATGCTAGTCAGGAAGGAGGGCCAGGAAGGAGAGCAGTGTGCTTCTTGGAGGAGGCAGGCTGACTGCTGTCCATGTACTTCGTCCAGGGGATGTCACAATGTGCTGTGCCAGATGCTGGGTTTCTCACCAATTTCCAGCATGTGCCCCGACATGCCCCACCTAACAGTCTCACTCCTGGGTCCTGTCCCTAGCTTTTCTTCCTTCCTTGCCCTGCTCCCTATCTTCATCAGTGCTGGGAACTGAACCTAGGGCCTTTGCACTGAGCTACATTCCTAGTCCTTTAATTTTTTTTTTTTTTAAATTTCAATCTGGATCTCACTAAACTGCTATGTTGCCAGTTAGGTTCGAGCAAGCAATTCTGCCTCGGTGTTCCGAAATGCCAGCATACAGGCCTGCACCACTAGGACTGCATTTTTAACCTGGGTGTCTTTCAGGCATAGCAACGTCTCAGAGTTCCATGCAGACCTTGCTCTGGCAGAACATCCTGTTTGTCTTCCATATATACATAATAATGCATGCAAGGTACGAAACAAAAGAAAATGATTCCCGCAAACTCACCACCCACTTCAAACATGGGTTTCCCTCCATAGCCAGTGAGGTCGTGAAATTTCCTCTTGCTTTTCTTTCTTTTTTTCCACGACCTCATCCTGGAACCGGGATGAGGGAGAGAAGTGGAGACAGGTTGCTCCTCGGGTTCCCGGGTACCTAGGAGTCCAACAGACATTTTGGAACTCGCACAGACATTTTCCAGTTTTCTGATCACATCTCCCACCCCGTGGCAGGCACTTCCGGTTTCCCGAGGAAGCGGCAACACCAGAGCAGCGGCGGCCGCGCGAGCCAGTGGCGTCATCAAGCGGCGCGGGCCAGGTTCTCACCCCGGCGTGCCGGCCTCGCTGACCTGGTCTGTGGAGCGGCAGTAGCGGGCATGGCTGTCTGCTGGCTCTTCCTGCGCAGGGTTGCGGCGGCGCGAGCCTGCCAGTCTCTGGTGACCCCCAGGGCTAGCTGGCGTCCGCTGTGCACCGGTCCGCCGCGGCGAGCGTTCGCCAAGGAGCTCTTCTTGGGCAAAATCGAGAAGGTGAGGCGAGCCCAGCCGCCTTTGCTCTTCGGCGTCCGCCTTTGTGCTTAGCAGCAGAGTGGGATCTAGCTTTGTCAGAGTCCCTAAACCTGCCCGTCAAACACATGCGAGGGGCTGGATGTCCTGACCCTGTAGATTCCTGAGTCCTTTTGGCCCCTGAAGTGGGAACGCGCGGACTTTTCCAGGGAAACGTGGCATGGACTGTATAGCGACTCTTTATGCTCGGCGACATGTGAGAAAACCCAGACGCGGGGGTCACAGCGCCACCATTGTCTGGCCCGGAAGTGAGTGGGTCTTGCACTCTGATCCCTAAACACAGCATAGCCCCTTCCCGCTGCTTTGGCACCCTCCTGGGCCCCGCGGCTTTCCAGACTCAGCAGAGACCTAGCACTTAATCCTGCTTTTGGGAGAACCTCACAAGTTTGTGTCCAAGGGCCCTTTCCCACGACATCTTTTAGAGATCCCAGAATCCAGCTGGTAGCCACAGCGTGGTTGTAAAGCCCTCATCCTTTTATTAGAGTCCTGGGACTTGGATTTCACCTTGGCTCTGACTTCGAACTTCGGTCCTTTCAGCTTTAAATGGAGCTAGTTATGTTTGGCCTCACTGATGTGTTGTAGAAGCCCAGTGAGATGCATAGTGTGTAGAAATTCTGTGTTGTGTAGCCAGAGACAGTGAAACATTTACTAGCTTTGTGACCTTGGGTTAGTCCTTTACTTTGCTTCCTCAGTGCTTTTTTCAGTAAAATAGAAGTAAGCACAGGACTTGCTCTCTCATTAGAAGTACAGTGCTTTGAACCTGAAATTAAGGCTAATCCTGGATAGTGGAAGCAGTTACTTCCTGCATTCAGTTTACAACAGTCCTCTCACCTTGTCAGGCCAAAACCTTAAGCAGAATTACTGATGCAGAAGCTGGGACTAAGACTGAGAGTGATTTGTCATGCTAGGAAATATAGAAGTAAGACATTAAGATGCAGGAAACCATTTTTTTCAGCTCTCATGCTAGGAAATATAGAAGTAAGACATTAAGATGCAGGAAACCATTTTTTTCAGCTCGTTGGTGCCTCATTCTGGGACTTCAGGCATCCCAGCATTGTGGTGAAGAAAAAACTAAAATCTCTTGTGCCACTTCCAGTCTTTGAGCCTGCAGCTTCCCTTCCCTCCGCTCACTGGCCACTGTTGGCCTTGCTTCATTTCACTGAGGATATCCATGCCCTCCTCCCCACCCCTGGTTACCTGTCCTTTGCTCTGTGCCCGTGTCATTTCTAATCTTCTGTTACCAATGAACTGTTTCCTCGGGAAGGCTTACCTGGTCATTAGATCCCAGTCTTCCCACCTACTTAAGGTTAACTGTGTCTTCTCTCATTTGTATCAATTGCTTTATCTCTGCTAGTCATGAAAGTCAATGGTGAGCTCCATATGGTCAAATCTAAGGGTCTTCCTCCTACTACATTAGTGACATCTGACGCAGAGCATCACTCTGCCGTCTTATGTACACTTCAGTCACCTGACTCCTGAAAAATCACTGACCTTCTCAGTCTCCTTTACTGGTTTCTTCTGGGCTCCTTGACCTTTAGACATTGGTGAGTGTTTCCTACAGGCCCAGTTGGAGTGGGATTTTTCCAAGGCTAGACTATAGACTTAGCTTTTAATTGACACCATCCCCTTGATTACCTAGTTCAGTCCTGGCTTTAAATACCATCTGTATCCTGATGGCTGAAATTTATACTTCCAGTGGAGAATTTTTCCCCTGTCAACTCCAGATTCTTTTTATTTCTCCCTTTCTCTTCAGGAGCACCCCTTAGATGTCTGAAAGACATCTCTAAATAGCTTATCTGAAAAACTGCTCTAGTTCCCACCAGTCTTGCTTGTCTCCTCAACCTTTATTATAGAGAATGGTGATTCTGGAGGTCTACCGACTTAGCTCAATCTCCTGGAGGGACCTTCAATTCCCCTTATTCTCCTAGTTCACATCTAACCCTACAGTGAATCCTTTTTTCTTTATCTTCAGGTTCTATTCAGGGTCCAGTCACATTTATGTACCTTCACAGTGACTATCCTGAATTAGGCCTCCCTCTTCCATGATTCTCACAATGACCTTGAGTCAAGTGTACATATTATAGGTGGAAAAACAGAGGCTCCAAAAAGGGTTTGTCAGTGGCCTCCCAATTAGTAAGCAGGACACAAAGCTAAACCCAGGGCACCTTAATGTGAGTCCCAGGCTCCTTGTTTGTGGGACAGTCCTTATCACTGCTATTGATAAGAAAACTGATGAAAATCAGGACCTACATGTCTGTGTGGAGAGGATGGCTGCAAGAAGGGGAGTCTTAACAACCAATTTTTGTATCTGAAGTCCCTTGTGAGATTTGCTTTACATATTTCTGCTTTTTGTTGTGCTCTGCTAGCCAGTTGTGGAATCCAGCACACCTTTTTCTAGACTTTGACTAATATTACCATGTTGTAGGTTAGTTAAAATTTAATTTTGAGACTATGGTGGCACATGCCTGTAATCCCAGCACTAGAGAGGATTTTTTTTTATTTCTGCTCTGATTTTTTTTAATTTAAAGAGAAAAAAGAGAGAGAGAGAGAAAAAAAAAGAAGTAAAAGTAGTACAGAATTTCAAGAAAAAAAAATATACTGTAAGAAATCACTAGTTAATAGATATTGTCGTCTTACAAACAGTTGTCCAAATTACAAAATTAAAGCATACAAAGTGGACATTCATACAGTGAGATTGCAGACAGTTCTGTTCAATGGTCCAACAAAAACTATCCTACACACTTAAATATACATGCAGTTATATCCTTTAGGCCACTTTCTTTTCCTTCTAGAGAGGATTTTTGAGAGTACATATGGTGGCACATGCCTGTAATCCCAGCTAAGGCGAGCGGATTGTTGTGAATTTCAGACCAGCCTGGGCTACAAAGTAAACTGAAGGCCAGCCTGAATTGCATAGTGAGACCCTGTCTCAAAAGAAGACACCAAAAAACAAAAAAAAAATTTTTTTTTTTTTAGTAAATGTTTTTCTCACTTTTAGAAAGGAGTTTTCCCATTTCCAGAGATGGACCAAGATGAGCTTAATGAAATCAATCAGTTTGTGGGACCTGTGGAAAGATTCTTCACTGAAGAGGGTATGTATAGTTTTCCTGTATCATTGCTCGTTTCTGTTGTAAGAGTGATTGTATTGGAGTTTGTGTAACAGGCAGGGCACACATAGAGGAAGCCGTCTTCAGTGTCATTAATGAGACCAAAATAGTTGTCACTCATAGTATTTTGCGTTGGGGGTCCTTACAGTTGCTCCTTAATGAAAAGTCATCTAGTTCAATTATCTGTGTGTGTTTGTGGTGAAAGACTGTTTGAAACATTTCCAAACTGCTGTAGACAAGCACATGTGTAAAATACAACAACCAAATTGAGTCACTGGAATAATAGATGACAGAAGCCAAGGTGTTTGCACAGTCCCAGCCCATGGCTCATGTATTGGTGAGTGTGGTGTATAGGATGCGTCAGATGTGCTAAAATGCAGAGTCTGGGTATCTGTCCTAGGAGTTTTGTTTTGTTTCATTTCATTTGTTTTGTGAAAATGCCTTGTTATGTACTGATGCTAGGCTTTAACTCATTGTGTAGCCTAGGCAGTCCACCTGCCTCAGCCTCCCAAGTGCTTAGAATTACAGGCATGGTCCAACTTCTGACTTGTCCTAAGGGTTTTATGATGAGCCTCAAGGCAGTAGGCCATACCATAGTAGGAGCTGAGGTCCCTTTGAGGGGTCTCTTGAGGGCTTGCATGCAAGAGTAGCAGCATCCCGTCCTCAACACTGAGGATTCCAAATGTCACTTGTTTAGCGGTTTTTATCTGCTGAGAAGTCAAAAATATTATTACTTTAAATTAAAAGTGATATGAACTTGTTACATGTTAAAGTATGAATATGTGTGTGTGCATACTCATGCACGTGTATGGAGTTTTTTTGTTTGTTTTTTGCTACTGGGACTGAACCCAGGTGTTTGCACTAAGCTGCATCCCCAACCCTTTTTAAATTTTTTTACTCTGAGGTAGGATCTCACCAAGTCAGTAAGCTGGGCAGGTCTTGAACTTGTGATCCTCTTGTCTCAGCCTCCTGGAATGCTGGCATTATAGGCATGCACTACCATGACTGGCTTATCTTCATATTTTTAGTCTGTTTTTATTTTCATAGTCCCCTTTCCTGTACTATCTGATTTGTCAGCCCCCTTAGGCTTTATTGAGATGTAAGTGATTTACAGTACAGTGTACATGTTTGAGTTGTACCCTCAGGAACCATTAACACACCCAAGGCGACGAACATATGCATTACCCCTAGAAGAACTCTTTGCCTTCATTCCCTCCCTGTCCCCAAGTAACCACTGATTTTCTTTTTCTTAGATTTTGTTATATTTTTTGGAGTTTTATTTAAACAGATTCATACGTTAGGTAATCTCATTTAGCTTCTTTTGGAACAATTTTGGGTTTCCTTCATGTGGCCTGTATCAGTTTTTCCTTCCTTGATAGTGCTGCAGAATATTTCTTAGTATGCTTTTTCTACCTGGTGACTGACATGTGGTCAGCATGCACCATTGTAGCTGCCTAACTTCCTGTCTCATTTTGTAGAACATATTGGTAATTTTGTAAAAATCAAGTTGAGTATAACTGCAGTAATCTACATCTCATCAATGTGCTATCTGTTGGCATTTTATTCAACCAAAGCAGCCAGATAAGCAAACAGAACTCCACCCAGAGTAAAAAGCCACAATTCTTACTGGGCTAATTATGTAAAATCAAACACATGCAGATAATTTCCAGTTTGAAAAATGTCTGGCACCCAAAAGTGATTGTGTGTACTTCTACAGTATTTGTTTTAGCATAGCTTACTTCTCTTTTGCCTGATCAAGATATTTCTTCTTGTTAGTGGACTCTGGAAAAATTGACCGGGAGGGGAAAATCCCAGATGATACTTTGGAGAAGCTGAAGAGCCTGGGCCTTTTTGGGATGCAGGTCCCGGAAGAATATGGTAAGTCAGGGAAACCCCTCTTCAGGAGGCACCATGCAGGATTTCTGCAGCCTTCAGAGAAGTGTGGCTCTGGGCTTTGCAGTCTTTGCTGCTCGCCCACCCAGCCCTCAAGGGGGCTTCCTCTGCCATGGTTGGCTGAGGGTCGAGGTAGGGACATGCTGCGGGCAGCAAGTACTTTGGGCAGTTGTTTGTCCTTTTTGGAAGACAGACTGTTTGGGATGGTTCCCAGCTGTACCCTGATGTTGGTCTTGGCCAGCAGGGCACAGCAGTTGGGAGCTTTCCTTGCTCTTCTGTTACCCTACCTTGTCTGTCTCCTGGGGCTAAATAAAGTAGGGCTTCTTTTCTCTCTCGTCCTCTCTCTTTCTCTCTCTCTCTCTCTTTCTCTCTCTCTGTGTATGTTGGGGTGAGGTAGGGGACAAGTCTATAGAGCAAATCCTTGATGGTATAGCCCAGAGTTGGGCCAGGCCAAGACGGGGATATCTGAAGACCAAAGAGCAGATGCTTGGCTTCCTTCTATGGAGCATCAATCAGGTGGAGTGTGTTTGTGTGTGTTCGTATCATGTCTTTCTTGTTGTCCTGTAAGATCCTGCCCCACTCTCAAATGTGTGTGAGTTTGTCCTGCCTCTGCAGAGGACCTTACCTGACCCACCAGGCTGCTGGCCCCAGGGTGGCAGTGCAATCTTCATTCCTGTGGCTACAGACATCCTGTGTGTCCTCTTGGAACCCAATGCAAGCTGTCCTGGCCACCTGGCACCAGGGTGGGGACTCCTGAGCTGCAGGACTGCTGTTGCTGTCACATGTAGCTATGCCTAGTGCTGAATATGAGAAAAAATGGGAACCAAGAGTTAGGACAGCTCTGCTCTGCTGTCAGCAGCTTAAAAATAATAACAAGGCAATGGGAGGAGCCTCAGATTCACATCTGCAAGTTTTGGGAGGCTTTTTAGGGCAGAGGATTCTGACACCTGGTGGAAGCCACTGCTGGAGTGTGCAATGCTTGGGTCCTTCAGTCCCTGGTACCACATGTCTCCTTTCTGCTCTTGGTTCTTCCTTGTCTGTGTTCCTATGAGATATGTCCCCCAGGATTCTACCTATGCACACGAAGGAAAAGCAGCCAAGTTTTTGCAGAGAAAACTCAGGATATGATAGGGCCAGCCAGACCTTCACCCACATGGATGCTGCCTCTGTTCTTGAGTGTAGATGTTCAAGCTGCTCTATGTTTTGTGTGTTGGCCTCAACTTGAGACTGGAGGTCAATTTATCATTTGAAAAAAGGGCACAAGGCTACCCACGGTCCCCTCCACAAGTTGAAGATCAGATGTAAAGTATCTAAGTTCTATAGAGTTTTTGTTTTGCTGTTTTTTAATCTCTTTGTCTTTTTACTCTTAGATGATATCCCATGGAAGAGTTTTTTTGAGACTGTTTGCTATGGAATATAGCTCTGCCTTGAATTTGCTATGTAGCCTTGGCTGGCCTTGAACTCACGGTCCTGCCTCAGCCTCCTGAGTGTAGGGATTATAGATGTGCAAGCCACACCTGGCTTTGAAGGGCAGTTTTTTCCTCAGGGAACATTGGGTGGTATCCAAATATATTTGGTTGTCAGAATTGTGGGAATGGGGAGGTATGCATCTCACATCTCGTGGGATGGAAGCAAGGTGCTGCCGACAGTCCACATTACACAGGAATGAGCTGTCCCTTATGTTGCAGTGGGGGACAGATATCTCTGCCCTGGGGCCCACTGGATACTGGGTCAAGGACACTTCAGGGTCTGGCAGAGGGCACCCTTATCTTAGGCAGTGGTTTGTTGTCTGTAGGGGTGTCTGCATGCTTGTATATGTTCATGTAAAATGTGAGAGGCCCTACATAAAAATGCTTTTTGTGAGTATAGGATTATAGGCAATTTATGTTTTATTTTATTGTGCTTTTTAAAATGGTATCACTTTATTATTAGGAAAAGCAGTGCATTGTTTGCTTTCTGGGAGGAGTTGGGCTGGTGTGCCTGATGCTGCCCCATCTCTCCTAGGTGGCCTGGGCCTCTCCAACACCACGAGCATTCGACTTGGGGAGATCCTCAGCCTGGATGGATCCATCGCTGTGACCCTGGTGGCACACCAGGCGCTGGGCCTCAAGGTCAGTTGTCCAGGGCCTCTGTTGGTAGCTGTCTGAAGATGGCAGGAGACAGGGGTCTTGTTCATGCTATAGTAATAGCTCGGGGCCTTGTAGGAGAGCAAGCCCAGCTGCTTTTGCCATCCTGCCCTCCACTGGACCTGCATGTGCAGTGGCCTTTGGCTCACACTGTCCTTTGGCACTGAATCCCCCTCTGTTCCTCAGTATTTGACCAATCTTTTCTTTTTTGGTACTGGGGATCGAACTCACGACCTCATGCTTGCTAGGCAGGCACTTGTGCCTCTGAGCTAAGTCCTCAGCCCTGGTTTGACCAATCTTTCAAGGCCCAGGTGGTGAGGCAGCTCTTCACTCCAGGCTGGCAGAGCTGTTCCTCTGCTGTCTGAACAAAAATCACCCTCTCCCCAGAATCAGAACACAGTGCAAAGCTCTTGGTGGCCTCTTCTTGGGGCTACGCCTACTCAGTGTAGATTTCAGAGCCAAAAGAACTCTGCACACAGCTCCCCACCCCAGTGATACCAGCTGTCGCCACAGTCATTTGGTGGCAAGGTGAAGACTGCTGTGCTATAGAGTGGCACCTTATGCGGGGTATGGTTCCAGCTTTCCTGTGTCTGCACATTCATCCTCCAGATCACCTGCCTGTGAGCAGTGTCCCTAGCTTGTAGATCTCAGGTTTAGGGATCAAAGCAGGGACAGGCCTTGCCCAAGGGTACCTGACCTGGTTGGGGAGGTGTTGGATGAACGTGATTAACCAAGACTGGATCAGAAAGGTGTGCAGCTGGGCCCCTGCAGCGGTTCATTCCCTGTGCTCTGCCTGGGGCTCCCTCTGTCTTCACTTGAAGTAAATGTTGACCCTGAAGGGCAGTGTCTCATGAGTACATCTTCACTGTCTTTGCCTCCCTGCATATATGAGATGTTAGTTTGTGTGTGTTTCATTTAGGGGATCATCTCGTTCGGCACAGAGGCACAGAAGGCCAAATACCTGCCGCGGCTGGCCTCTGGGGAGCACATCGCAGCCTTCTGCCTCACAGAGCCAGCCAGGTCTGTCTCTTAGAATATTATCTGCTGCCTGTCTCCAGGACAGAGGTCTTGTCTGTGTGGAGTGTCTGGCTTGTGTCTCTTCCCTGCCTAAAAGCTTCCAGTCAGTGTTAAGACCTTTCTCACCAGCTGTCTGCCCAGGGAGACTTACAAATGTGAAAACAACCTAAGTTCATCTATCAGCCAGTGTCTGTGGCTTTCCACCCTGTGATATGTGGAGATGTCATCAGACTGCATTTGCTGAGCATTTGAACTGGGAGCTGGATCTCATTTCCAGGTTAGGAATGGAGGTTCAGTTGGGTTGTGTGATCAGCTAGAGGTTTTGTAGTTGGATGGAGCAAGGTTGGAGGTGCACATGGCTGTAGTCAGCAAATGTTTCACACTGACCACTCAGATGGTGACCTATAGTGGTCACCTTCTGAGACATCCAAATGTCTCCTCATAGCTGCTCAGATGAACCCATGAGGAGTCCAGGTTCTTCTGCAGCATTTGAGACCTGAGTCATTTTAACCTCCACCTTTACTGCCTCTGTGTTAAAAGCAGAGATGACCAGATCCAGCCTGTCCCTAGTTTGTGTCATGAGATTTCACTGGAAAGTGAACTTCTTGTGATGAACTGTCTATGCAGCCACAGATTTGAGAACAAATGCCCTGTGACTGGGAAAGGTGAACACCTCTCTGTCAACCCTGTATTTCAAAAGTTTGCCAGCTCCTTGTCTAATCATCTCTGTTTCCAGGTTCCAGGTCTGTCCTTTATTCCCAAAATTGTTCTATCTCCACTGCATCTCTCCCTTTGTAGCAGGAACAATACTGGCTCCATCCGGACTAGAGCTACACTGAGTGAAGATGAGACGCATTATGTCCTCAATGGCTCCAAGGTATGGCCTCAGGGGCCCTCTGACCAAAGCTGGCAGGACAGAGATAGAATTGAGCAGCATCTCCAGGGCCTGTCTGCTATCTCTGTTCAGGTTTGGATCACCAATGGGGGACTGGCTGAGATTTTCACTGTGTTCGCAAAGACCAAGGTGGTTGACTCTGATGGCTCCGTAAAGGACAGAATCACAGCATTCATAGTAGAAAGAGACTTTGGTGGAGTCACTAATGGGAAATCCGGAGATAAGTTAGGCCTTCGGGGCTCCAACAGTAAGTGCCGTGTGCATTTGTGTGTGTGCATGTGCATGCTTGCATGTGGGACAGAGAGAGGGATTGATTCTTGGTATTTACCAAGGTAAAATGAGGTTACAATCCTCTGGTTTTAGTTTAGCATTTTGGCAAAATCCAGTTGACAGTGCCACCTGGACTTCTCTGGTGATGCCTATGAGTTCCTGGAAATTAACTCATGAATTGGGCAGCTGTGGTCTGCACACCACTCAGGGTGTTGAACTTTGGGACTCCCATGGGACTGAAGCCAGTAAAGCTGTATGCCTCAGAGTTGGGGCTGGCAGTAGACCCTGTGGTGGCAGGACAGCAGGTGACCTGGGTTAGGCCTCCCATCTTTGCTGCCTGGAACCTTTGTGCTCATCATGTGCCCCTGCTACAGAGACCCTTGGAGCTCTGGGTTTGTAGGATGAGGATGTATTGTACCAGTCCTCTTGGTGCTGCCCTAGGGTCTTCAAATGCTGTGCCCCTTAGGTCTCCTATTCCAGTCTTGAGTATCTGTCCTGGAAGGCACTACATATGCCCTGGGCACCTTTGGGACGACCTCTGCATGCCTTGTGTATTTAGGGACTTTGCCTTCTGGGTAGAGTTTTAGCACACATCCAGCTTGGGCTGGAGGTAAAAGGGATAGAGGCCCTGAGCTCTGTCCTGTGTGCCTGTGAACAAGCTTGTGTGGTCCTCTGCACTGTAGTTTGCTCAGGTGCAGGAAAAGGAAGGGTGTGTGCAGTGCAAGATGTGCCTGTGACAGCACCTCAGCACCAGTTGCTGCCCTGACCACTGTGACCTAAGATCTCCTCAGTGTGGCAGCTGAGAGAAGAGAAGCACTGAGACCCTCTACTCAGGAGGAGCCTGGCATGCTGTCAGGAGACAGTACAGGGACCAGGGGCTGGGTCCTCTGGGGCAGTCTGGCAGGTGGTGCCCTGGGTCCATGCAGGGTCCTGTGAGAGAAGGTCAGGTGGCACAAGGTGAGTCCAGAGGGGGACTCACTTCTCAGCCTTTGACCCTGGTCCCAGAGCCAGAGACTGCAATGTTTTGATGGATTTCACCCAGCTCTTCTGACGTGGTCGCAGTACTTGGTTGAATGGTTGGCAGCTTGCCATGCCTGGCTGGCTCCCCTTGAGCCTTAGTCTTCCCTATCCTGAACCTCTTTTCTCTGGTGCAGATGGTTAGCAGGTGCCATGTTTATGTAACCAAACATGTGAACACCCCTTGTGTTGGGAAATACTGTGGATGCTACTGCATGCTCCTCAACCTGTCCCCACTGCTCCCCACCTTTAGTGCACATCTAACTAGGACTACTGCCTGCATGGCAGCCAGAGCTGGTTTGGCAAGGATGCTTTCTTCCTTATGGTCACTGAGTGCCAGGCAATCTACTACAGGCTATAGATTGATTCAGGTTGTCATGGTTTTGTGTTATCACTGGGACACGTACACCCCCAAGGTCTATGCTCCTGCTGGACCAGCTGCTTCTTTGACCCCACCTGGCATTGGGACAGGAGAGGCAGGTCTGCCTTCCCAGTGGGGTGTGGGTGGGGGCAATGCTGCTGCCCTGCAGACAGTGTAGGGCAAGTGTTCATTAGGGTTAGGAACTGGGACCAAGAATCCCATCCACTGATGGCCTTCAGAAGTATTTGTGCATGAGTTTGACTGTTCTTTCTCCATTCTTTTTGTTCCCTAACAGCTTGGCCCAGCCCTTAGTACAGCTACTATCCAGCCGTCAACCCCTAGCTGTATGTCTGTCCTTTGTGTATTTCACCTGTAGCACAGATAACACTGCTAACATCCCTCCTTGACCAAGTGTGGGCTCCTCAGACATTCGTGCCTCTCTGTATTATCCATCCTGATGTCAGATGAATGAATGACTTGTGTGCTCTGTTCAAGTGCAGAGTGATTTGCATTATTTGGTAAGGTCTTAAATCTTCTGTGTTTCAGTTTGCGAAGTTCATTTTGAAAACACCAGGGTGCCTGTTGCAAATGTGCTTGGAGAAGTCGGAGGTGGCTTTAAGGTGAGTTGCCTGTTGAACCCTAAGTGAATACTGTGAGGTTTTCCAAGTGGGTACCTACCCGCACTTGTCTAATCCTTTCCTGAGTTTAGACACCACCTATAAAATGGCTGGGTCTGAGGAGTCACCATTTTTATACTCTTGAGCCATGTTGCCAAGTGTCTGCAGGAAACTGCAGGTATGTGCTCTTTCCAGCAGGGAGGGAAAGAAGCCCATTCTCATGATACTGGGGTAGCCAGACTTGGTAGTACATACTTGTAATCCCAGCATTCTGGAAGGCTGTGGCAAGAGGATCATGAGTTCATTTAGCATGACCCTGTCTCAAAGCAAAACATAAGTTGGGCATGCTCATGGGTAGCGCGTGCCTATGTCAGCACTTGGGAGGCTGGGTGGTAGGATTGCCAGCAGTTCAAGGCCAGCCTGGGCTACGAAATGTGTTTAAGGCCAGTCTGAACTGCATCGGGAGACACTGCCTTAAAAAAAAAAATTAAAAAAGAGTTGAAATAGCTCAGGGAAAAAAAAAGTGCTAGAATTGAACCAAGTGTCTTGTGAATGCTAGGGAAGTATTCTACCATGGAGTTTATCCCAACATGTTTTGTTTCTTGTTTTTTTGAGGCATGGTCATACTATTTAATTCAGGTTGTTTTTGGACTTACTATGTAGCTCAGGCTGGCCTTGCATCACAGAAATCCTCCTATTTCAGTCTCCCGGGGTGCTGGGATTATAGGTGTGCACCACCATGCCCAGCTTACAACACTATATTCTTACAAATGTTGCTATTGTGATTGATAAAAAATGACTGTTGTTAATAAACAAAGGGAAATTTATTTCTAAAATTCTTTGTGGTTCCCAGTGAGATTGGTGTCAGTTAGCCTAAATACTAAAATGAATGATACATTTGATTCAATCTCAAGATCATAAACCAATAATACACTGGCTGACAATTGTGTGAACCAATGTGAGGTGAAAGTGAGGGTTTTTCTCTCTGGTATACTTAGAAAATCTGAGTCCAAATGCAGATAACAGGAAGGGGCTACTGAATCTCGCTTTGGGGAAGTTGAGATCTCAGATGTGGATATGAACATTATGGAGAGCACTGTTGTGGCAGAGGAGCTGAGGACCCACTATAGGTGTTGAAAAGGCCAGTGCACCATGGAGTAGTATGGAGGGTCCTCAGAAGACTAAGAATAGGGCCAGGGATATAATAGTTCAGTGGCACAGCGCCCTCCAGGCAAGCACAAGATCGTGAGTTTGATTTCTGGTACCAAAAACAATAACAACAAAAAAGGTAATAACAATAATAAAAGACTAAGAATAGAACTACCATGTGATCCAACTGTCTTGCTACTGCTTGGCTGTCTATCCAAAGGAGAAGCCAGCACACTTTCAGTGCCTACGTACTCCTGTTTCTTGCAGCTTTATTAGCAATAACCAAGAAATGCCACCCTCCTCTGTATCCTTCATCAGATAAGTAAAGCAAGTGTCTATATATCCCATTAAGTATTTAGTCATAAAAAAGAGACAGCTATTGATTTTAGGATAATGGTTAAGTGGAATCAGCTAGACAGAAAGACAAATATCATAATATTTTTTCCCTCATATGTAGAAATTTTAAAAAATAAATAAAAAGGACCTGGACACAAAAGAGATATCTCTAGGGCTTCAGAAGGCAACTGGGGGAAACGGAAATGCGGTGGATAGAAGAGTGGGTGGGTGTAATCACAGTGTGTGCACGTGTGGAAGGTCAGTGAGCCCACCAGCCTGTGAGATGAATAGGTGTTAATACTTAAAATGTTAAAAAGGTTGGCAAGGGCCACCAAAGTCAGAGAAACACTGAGCGTAGGACTGGGGCCCTTCTGCATACAGGGATGTACCAGGGAATGAGGCCCAGAGTCACCTATTTTTCCTGCCTTTTTTCCTTTGGAATGAGGTTAACACTAACTCTGAAGGAGCTGAGCTAGCTTTTGAAAGAAGGTGTGGGAGGCAGAAGAATGGAAGACTCTAGTTTCCCAGCAGACTGAAGGGCCGGTGCCAGCTAACATGCCAGGGAGTAGGAGTGCGTGGGCCCAGGGAGGGTGGTCTTGAGTCCAGTTCTGGGGTGAGATTACATCACCCCAGACAGGGGTGCACAGTAAGCACAGATTGCAGTTCTGTGTGTTTTATTAATCCACATCACGTCCAGCCAGGCCTTCTGGAGGAGGCAAAAGTGCTTTCTGTGAGGCTGAGCTTTCTGTCCATCTTCCTTCCTGCCCTGGCCCAGCCCTCCCTCTGGGGCTTGAGGGTGTCAGATCCAGTGCTCAGAAGTGCTGTCTGCCTGGGGATCTCTTCCTCACTGCCTGCCTGAGGCCCCAGCTCTGGGTCTTCTCTGGGGAAGCTTGTCTGCCCGTCCCCTCTTCTCATGCCAAGAGTCCCCACAGGGCTGGGACTGTATGTCTGTCCCTGTCTGTATTAGGTCAGAAGAATGGATAGGGAAAGAAAAGTTGCTGACAAAGCTGTCAGGCTGTCGCAGATACCTGGCCTGGGTGTTGGGCTGACACCAGAAGTGGAGCCTTGGGAAATTTTGTCCCCACTGAGCCTGGGCTTCTTCCTGAGTAGCTCCTGAGCCCTGGGCCCTGTGGGAACCTCTACATAGCTTGCTTGGCTGTGCATACCAGTCAGTCCATCTCTCTGTTCCCTTCCCTGAGGGTGACACGGGTACTGGTCACTGCCTTTGGGATGGTGTCAGTGGCCTGCAGTGGCTGGAGCCACAGCAAGACTGTGCCACCTGCTTGCATGGGGTTGTACTTGCTCCCAGCAGTGTCTCTGGGTTTTCCTGCTGTCCCTGCAGGTGGCTGTGGACATCCTCAACAGTGGGCGGTTCAGCCTGGGCAGCATTATGGCAGGGATGCTCAGGAAACTGATTGGTAGGTAAGTTGGGCTCTACATCCTTCTGCAGTGCTGTCCCACCCCCTGGCATGCCCTCTATGGCCAGGAGACTTGGCCTTTCCCTTGGGTGGGCACAGAGAAGGGAGGAGGAGGCCAGGTGCTGGCAGAGGGAGGGAAGGGGTGCTCTGCTGCCCTTAAGACTCTTTATCTCCTGGCTGTTGCACTGTGGTGAGGAGATGGGTTAGGCTGCTGAGCCCCAGACCTCCCTTTTGTTCTTACCCAACAAGAGTACTGCTAGCTAGGATTCTCCCATCTGTGACTTAAACAGTCCTGTAACCATTGTTGCCTTGGTGACCTTGGAGAGGAGATCTTGGGGAGAGCACTCCCCTGAACACTTCATGCTTCACACAATTCAGGATAAGGTGGGCACAGGAAGGAAGCATCTGGCTGACTTTCTTCCCTGTTTGGTTGGTGAGGAGACTGAGTCTCAGAGAGGCCAGGAGGTTTACCCTGGACCATGCACCAGAGCCTCAGTTCGTGCCCATCTCCAGCGCCAGCTCAGGGTGCTTCTGTTTGCTGTGCTGCTTAGTGCACAAGCTCCCTGGAGTGCACAGGGCCAGCCTGTCCACCACAGGAGGCAAAACCCTGGAGGAGATCCCATGGCCAGAAGGGCAGATTCGGGGGACATGGGACTGGGTTGCAAGTGTAGGAGCATTTGGACACTAGGACTTCTGGTGTGGCTGGCGGTATCAGTGCCTGTCAGGCAGGCTGTTGTGTCATGTGGGTGTTGATAACTCAGTCCCATGCACAGCCATATGCCCTGAGGCCCAGACCTGTGTTGCAGCAGGTCCTGCAATAGCCAGGGGCACCTACCAATGGGATTAGCTGTCCCAACCCTGTCTGGGACCTTCTGTGTACCTGGCTTCCTTTGAGATGCCTTGTGCCCTCTGATGGCATCTTTGAATGACCCTGTGAGGTGGGCAGTATTGTCAGGGAGGTAGAGCTCTTTAGCCTGGGCCTCTGCGGAGAACAAGGCTGGGTTCAGATCCGTGTGTGGCTTTTGAGGCATCCAGTCCCAGGACACAATGCTCAGGGTGTTTAAAGGGTAGTGGTAATGGAGTTAGGAAATCCCTTTTGGATAGGCAGGAAGTTGCCAACAACTCTGCTCTTCTTTAGAACTGACTGCTGAGTATGCCTGCGAGAGGAAGCAGTTCAACAGGACGCTCAGTGAATTCGGGTTAATTCAGGTACCAAGGCTGTGTTTTCCCTGTGTGGTCAAGAATTGTGTGCTTGGCAATTGTCTCTCCTAGCTTTCTGTGTAGTTGTTTGGGGAGAAGACTGGATGAGGCTCAGTTGGACAGGGACCCCTTTTATGAAGGCTGAGTTTGATTCTCCTGGGCCAGCAAGACTTCTGGCTCAGTTGCTTCTGTCCCGAATGGCAGACTTGGGTCTCAGCATAGGCAAATTGCTTCTTGCTTGTGTTTTTCTCAAACATTCCAGGAGAAGTTTGCGCTGATGGCTCAGAAGGTGTATGCAATGGAGAGCATGTCTTACCTCACTGCAGGGATGCTGGACCACCCAGAGTGTCCTGACTGTTCCATTGAGACAGCAGTGGTGAAGGTAATCCCGGTGCCACCAGAGCTGATGGCAGAGGGTAATCAAGCAGAGAGCAGAGGGGACTGGATGGCACCCCCTGTGCTGACCTCACCTGGCCTTGGCAGGTGTTCAGCTCTGAGAGTGCCTGGCAGTGCGTGAGCGAGGCATTGCAGATCCTGGGGGGCTTAGGCTACATGAGGAACCACCCCCACGAGCGCATGCTGCGTGATGCCCGGGCACTGCTCCTCCTGGAGGTGAGTGACCTGCACCCATTTGTGTGTCCTCATGTCCCAAGCTGATGCTCCACCTTCCCTCCTTGCCTCCTTGGCTTGGGAGTGCTATGGAGGCCAATCCCCATTTTGGGTTGCTTCCTTGCTGGGCGCCCTTAACCCACATACTCTGCTCTGCACAGGGAAACCTGGCCTGGAGATGGCAGGGAGCTGGCTCAGGCTGCTTTCCAGAGGACCCTTTCCCGTGTGCCTGCCACCTCCTGGGATTCTGCCTATCCATTTTAAGGAGGAGTCAGGGGCTTACAGAAAGGTGTGGCCCATGCAAGGCTAGCCATGAGACATGGGTCCCAGTGGGAAGCCAGGCCATCTGGCCACCTCTTCACCTTTGTGTGTTCTCTAACCTCTAATCTCAGCCTTGACCTGGGTGCTTCTGAAGTGGCAGCCTCTGCCATGAGCAGGCTGTGGCTTACACTGTCACCTGGCACTGCTGGGGCTGCACAGAGGGGTGGCCCTTGACCTGTGCACTTCTGGCCACAGGGGACTAACGAGATCCTCCGGATGTTCATTGCCGTCACGGGCCTGCAGCATGCCGGGCTTGTCCTGACCCCAAGGATCAAGTAGGTGCTATTCATGCTTTTCAGGGACTGTTCTCAGAGATAAGGGGAAATGGCTGCCTGCTCTGAGTTGGGATGAGATGGTAGGCTAGATGTGGCCTTGGACTCCCTTGGAGCCTGGCTGCATAGACTGGGACCTACAGGTCTGAGAATGCCTGGCAGTGCATGAGCCAGGCATTGCAGATCCTGGGGGGCTCAGGCTACATGAGGGACCTCCCCCACGAGCCCATGCTGCGTGATGCCTACAGGTGGGGCGTACAGGTCCTGGAAAACCAGACCGCAAGCTTGTCACATGTCTCCCATCCCTACTGGAACTCTGTCTTCCCCTCTCCCAGCATCCTCTGCCTCTCCCACTGGTCTGCACATGGTTCCCCAGCCCTGAGACCAGCCCTGCCCCCAGCTCTGCCTATCCTCCTCTCTCCTCACTGTCCCAGGGTAGAGCCATAAGATCCCTGCCAGAGTCCAAGTACAGGCTGCTGGTAGCATTTTACTGGCTCCTTGATTGGGAGTTAGTTGCTCTGTAACAGGTTAGGAAAGTAACCTAGAGCCCAGTGTGCTCAGCCAAAGGAAAGGTACAGAGCTCATAGGCCCTAGAGTCACAGGACTGGGGGAATTTCTGCAGGCAGCTTAAAGGGAACAGCATGGCTGTAGTCATGGAGACCATCAGCCAGAGGCTGTGGGACACTTTGGGCGGAACTGTGGACCTGGGGCTGACAGGCAACTCTGGAGTTGTGCACCCTAGACTTCAGGTAAGTAGGCTCAGCAAAGTCACCCCCCCCCCCCCATAAGAACTCCCTGTCCTGGGATATGACCAAGGGTCTTGGCCCCAACGGGAACTTGGAGGACACCCTGATGCCCCACCCTATCTGGGCCCTGAGCCCCAGGCTACACGGTGTTGGATATAACAAAAAGGTTCCTGGGTGGATGAGATGCCAAGCTTAGTCCTGTCTCCTGGCCTGCCAGGACAGTGCCGCCAAATTTGAGGAGAATGTGCATTGCTTTGGCCGGACTGTGGAGACGCTGCTGCTGCGCTTTGGAAAGGTAAGCAGATCTGCCAGATCAGGGCACAACCAGCTCCCACATGCGTAGCTGTGAGACTGGCCTAGAGCAAGACTTGATCACCTGGGCACAATGCCAGGGAACGATCTGTGACATTGAGCACACTAAGCACCAGCCTCTTGTGTTAGCCATGTTGCTGGGCCATGGTCTTGCCTTAACGTCTACCTGAGGAAGGACAGTCCAAAGAGAAGGGAGATCCAGGGCAGCTGGGAGCCTCTCCTGCAGCCAGAAGCACACAAGGAGGCTGAGACTCCAGAGCTGTGTCCTGTGTGGGTCCTTGGGGCAGGAGCAGAGCTCTATGCCTTGCTGTATTTCCAGACCATTGTGGAAGAGCAGCTGGTGATGAAGCGAGTGGCCAATGTCCTCATCAACCTGTATGGCATGACGGCTGTGCTGTCACGGGCCAGCCGCTCCATCTGCATTGGACTCCCGGACCATGACCATGAGGTGAGCGCCTCCCAATCCCATCCAGGAAAGTCTTGAGGATGCTGAGTGACCTACTCAAATTTGGGTCTGGGCTCGAACAAGAGCCATGCTATGACCTCCGAGCCAGTCTGTGTCCTATTGCACATTAATGTGGCTGTGTTAATGAGGCCAGTGGCTGGGAGGAGGTTAGATGAGTTGTGGGCTGTATTGCCCAGTGGTCACTGAGATAGAGGTGTCTCAGGATGCTGCCCAGGGGGGCTGAGTGGGCTTTCTGTGCTGTGGCTATGGAGAGACCACTCTCCCCCAGGATAGAGTCTCACCCTGTGGGGACCTACGAGCTGCCACCTTTCCACGTGTGGTGTCCTCCACTTGCCTGAGGACACTAGGATTGTGATATCCATATGAGGGAGAGAGGAACAGAGGCTCAGACCATGAGTAGTTTTATTTTAGGGACAGGCCAATGTGGCTACAGGCTGCACTTAGCACCAAGGTTATTTCTGAGCCCAGCCTGATTGCAGAATGCTGCCCAGCTTGGTGGCAATTGAGCCCTTGGAGGCCAGAAGTCAGCTCCAGGGCACTCAGTGACTGTTCCCACCCTGGTTTCGGTAGGTTCTGTTGGCCAGCACATTCTGCGCAGAAGCTTATTTCCAGAATCTCTTCAGCCTGTCACAGCTGGACAAGCGTAAGCAGGGTGGCTAGTTGGAGGGAAGGGAGTGCATTTGGGGCTTCTGTGCATGAGGAACTTTCTAGGCCTTGTCTGCTGGAATGCAGTTCTGGGCCTGGCCTGGAGGCCTCTATGCAGCCCCAGGGCTATGCAGGCATGCAGCCATGACCTCACACCTGCCCAGGTGTGGTTACCAAGGAGGGGACAGCCCTTTACCTGCCTCTGTAGTCCTCCCCCCCAGCCAGAATAAGCTCAGATTTTCTGCGGAGAGCCTAGGCCACACCTGGAAAATGTGGGGCTTTGTGCCCATCTTTGCCCAAAAGGCTTGGGCTCATAGAATGTGTGGCTCATGGTCTCTGTGTGACCCTTTCAGTCTGCTGGGTTCTAATCAGTGTCCCCAGCCGAGCCAGCCTTCCAGTCAAGAGTGAAGAGGGCCATTGTGGGCCTCTTGTTTCCTATGGCCCCAGAGCTGATCTAGGCACCAGTGTGGCAGGTGGGACTGTGACCTGCTGTGGGGTGACCAGATGGCTTCTCCTCCTGTGGACTGTTTGGTGAGCAGGGCCTCTCCCCACCCCTACCCATGAGACCTGGGGTTCAGAGGAGAGGAGTGTAAGCACCCTTACTCAGGATGAAGCCCTGGACCCTTTCCTGTCTCTGTCATGAGTGGCCATCCAGAATCACTTCTTGGGGGGGAGCCCTGAAAGCAAGGGTGACTTTGTCAAAGTCACCTTATGTCCTCACAGTGGTACAGGAGGAACCCCACTCCCTCTCTTTGCCTTCTCAGATGATCCCGGAAACTTGGATGAGCATATTAAGAAAGCATCAAAGTATATCCTGGAGAAGCGGACCTATGTCTGTTCCCACCCTCTGGACAGGACATCCTGAGGCAGGACAAGCTCTGGGCCTTGAGGAACCAACCTCACCCCAACAGCCTCTGCTGAACTGTCGTCCTGCGGGCACCTAAGGGCTTTCTGCTGCCTGGTTTTCCCCATGATCACCCATTAGTCATGGCTTCTCCCAGACATCGAGAGGGTGGCAGTGCTGGTGCCTGACCTTGAGTGGCTGTGTTGAGTTCTGGTCACCACAGGGCTCAACTGTCACCTGTGGGGAGGAAGCTTCAGGGCCCTGTCTGAGGTGTGGGCATCCATCTCCATCATATGTTCAAGAAACTGGAAGCTGCGTTGAATTACTGTGAAACTTGCAGCCTGTGTCAGCATTGTTAACAAAAAATGTAAAATTGCACAATTTTTCTGTCCCCTCTTCTAGTCCTGCCATACTAGTCACACTGTCCTCAGAACCAGCCTTTAGCAGCTGGTCGTGCACACTTGTGATCTCAGCACTCTGAGAGGCTGAAGCAGGAGGATCACAAATTCAATCCCAGCCAGGTAACTTAGCAACACCTAGTCTCAAAGTAAGAAGAGGCTGGGAATTTAGTTGGGGCTCATGCTGACCATAGTAGCACATGCCTGTAATTGTTGCACTCACCTGCTTTGAGGTGTAGGCAACTACCATAGACAACACTTGGGGCTCCAGTACGGTAGTACTTTGATTCACAAACTTAATTCCACAATTCTTGTTGCAAACTGAATTGGATGAGAACTACAAATTCAGTGGTTAGTTTCAGTGTTGACCTTGTGAAGAAATAAGACTCAGTTCTCATCCAGTTCAACTTGTGACTAGAATTGTGGAAAGAATTAAGTTTGTGAACTGAGGTTCTACTGTAACTGATTAAAACAAACAGTTGTTTTAACAGCATTCATTTTCCTTTTTTTTTTTTTTTTTTTTTTTTTTGTCTTTTTCGTTTTTATCGGTACCAGGGATCGAACTCCCGACTGCCTGCTTGCAAGGCAGGCGCTTATGCCTCTGAGCTAAATCCCCAGCCCCAGCATTCATTTTCTTACAAGAGCACAAGCCATGTGCTTGAATCCTTTGGTATTTTACCAAATTCATTTATTAATTGTACCTTTGACCAAAAAATTGATGTGATCATAACTAAGAACAAAATATACAATGTCTAAGTGAAGAAAAACTCAGAAGATCAAAGTATCACAGTTGGCTGATCATGGATTCCTAGCCTTGCATGCAGATAGAGGAGGTGTAGAGCAATTCTGACATGACATAGAGACATCCAGATGATCTAAGAGTGACTCAGTGTTTATAGTGAGAATTCTGTGCAAGCAGGAATGGTATATTTAGCAGTGGCCACTTTGTAGCAACCTAAGGAAGTTAATGCATAATCAAATATACATTCACAGCCCCTGGGATTTATAAAAGTGATCATGTGCTCCAGCTTCTAAGAATTGAGCTCAGCCCAGTGCTTGGAGTGTGTTCCTGAGGAACAGCCCCTAAGGTGTGGTAGTGGGTCAGGTAGAAGGAAGGGAGTGGGCAGTAGAAATAGGTGGAAAGTAGAACCTCTTGCTGGCACTGCTGAAGTAAGGGAGCGAAAGATGGAAGGGGCAAATTGATCTTTCCCTTTCAAAACAAAAATGATACAGAAAAAGTCAAAATGAATTATGCAGAGTTTTGTGGTGTGTGTCCGAAGGATGGAATAGGAATACAGAGTACTGTTTCATTCATCCACAGCCTCTAGACATGATCCATCCTAATTATCAGGAACAGGAATAAATAAAGCACGCTGCAGAGGAAAGGAGTTTTTCCTGGGATTTTGCTGAAAGATATAAGTGAAATGCAAACAAAAATAAAAAATACCAATCACACCTCTGTCTTTGTGCATACTGGTACTCCTCCAAAGACAGGCTTTGTTATTACAACCTCACTAAGAGAGTTGCAGAAGGAAGGTCGTAGAGGATGTTTTAGACATGTGCCTGTGGGCCGGGGGTTTAGCTCAGTGGTGTAAGCACCTGCCTGGCAAGTGTGAGGTTTTAAGTTTGATCCCTGGTGCCATGCCCCCCCCCCCCCCCCCCCCGCCAATCTATGAGTAGACATGTGCCTGAGTGACAGTAGCCTGTGCAGTGTCACCAGTCAGTGCATAGCTTGTGTGTGTGGTGGTTTGGGCTGGGGTGGATATTCTTTTGCACTTGTTTTTCTTGGAGCTTCTAGAGGAATTGGCTTATATTTTTCCCTGGGCTCTGCATTTGAGGTCTGCTGTGGTAGTGAAAAACGGAAATTTGAACTGTGAGTATCATGCTTTTCACTTCTAGGCACCAGTTCTCCGAGAACAGCATCCCAGGGGCCATCTGCTTTTGGGCAGGTTTGCCCCTGCACCCATGTTTATATGCTAATTTTTAAGGATAGTTTTGGAAATGGTGCTAATGGATTGTTCTGGAAGATCCAGTCTTTGGAGTTTGTTGAAATGGTATGGAAGGCCCCCATAATTTAAGACTATTTTGTTATGTCTTCTAAAGACTGAGATAGGGAGCCCTGTCCTCACACATCACAGCTCAGTAGCCACAGGGCATCCCCTGTGTGGTCCGCCCTCCTGTGTGGTAGTCACGTGTGCATAGACTCAGAGCAGCAGGTGTCCCCAGTGCCTTGGGAGCCAATAATTGTGCTGAAACCAAAAGTTAAGTTCCTAACATCAATTCAGAAATATTTTCACTTCTGTGGCTTAAATATTTGCTACTGTGCTACTGATTAATTGTTTAAGCTAATTCTATGGTTTGATTACCCAGTTCTATACCTCCAGTCTTGGGTACCTTTTTCCATTATGTGAGTTCTTATGAGGATGTGGGTCTATGTGGAAAAATTTCTTTCTATTCATCATAAGACAAAGAAGAAAGTCTAGAAAATATTTCTAATTTTCCCACCAATGAAAATACTAAGGACCAGGGACATCCCCTAACAATCCTGGTGTATGGTATTTTTCAGGGCAGAGAAACTATTTTGTGTGATACTTTAGTGGTCAAATACATGTAATTTTACATTCATCCAAATTAAATAATATTCACAATTAACCTAATACCAACTCAGATTTTATTTTAAATTGATGAGTCAGTGTATCATGAATTATTTTTAAGTAGGAAGAGCTTTAATTTTTAAATATATAATTGCTAGTTTATTTCATATACATGTATAACATAATTTCATTAGTACATTTTACAGTGCATGAAGTTAACAGTCATCTTGGGGAGTGGGTACCTGTGTATAATACAACTTGATTCCTTTTTAAAACCCTTTCTTTTCCCCCTCCCACTTCCTCTAAGTCCCCTTTCCCCACTTTTGTTCTTATTGATATTGTTAATTGTATCTCATGTTAGGGTGTTATGTTTACATTCACTTAGATAACTAGGTTCCTGTGCCTGGTGTATCTTTATTCTAGTGGTTTCCTTCTGCCCCTCTCCCTCTTGCCCATATTCTCTTGGACCCCTTTCCATTTGCAAGAGATTTAATCTCTCCTACTCATCCTTTATTGTGTTCTTTGTTTATACTTTGCCTTACTCAAATGAGAAATACCATATCAAATTTAAATGTGTGTTGCATTTTACTTAATCTGTTTTCCTGGCATGTTTGTCCTTTATAGTCAAGTAATAAGTATTCCATTACATGTAGTACCACGTGTTCTTAACCACTTGTCTGTTGATGGGTAGGTACGTGGACTGCTTCCAGGGCTTAGCTGTTATGAATTGTGCTGCTATAAATATTGATATGCATGAATCACTGTAATTGATGTCTTCAGCTCTTTAGGAAAGACACCTAGATGGGGATAGCTGGGTCATATGAAATTGTGAATTTTAGTTCTTTGAGGAATCCCCATACTGATTTCCATAACGCTTGTAGTAGTTTACATTTCCACCAATGTTAGAATCATTCCTTTTCACTACAGCCTCACCAGGATTTGTTATTTTTTGCTGCTTAATGATTGCCATTCTTCTCATGTAAGATGGGATCAGCGATTAAACCACTGAGCAAGAATGGTGAAGGCCTTTGTTCCCCTTTGCTTGAGGTTAGAAACATTTCGCAGTTGGTGGTTAGCCCTTTTTTTCCTTGATCTGCTAATTTCAGGAACATTTGTTTCTCACAAAGCAAACAAAGGTTGACACAGCATCATTTGTCTTTCACAAAGGGAACAGGTTACTAAGGTGATGATGCATACAGAACAGTATGGCGAGGCATTAGTTAATCTATAACTGTAGTCAGTGTTCCAGGTACATGGTTACTAGGGAGATAAGCATAGCACAGAATGACAAAGCTCTTTGTGCTGATAACAATCTTTTTAACTTTGCATTTTAGCTTTTTTGGTTTTTTTAGCACAACACTTATGACCAGACACAGTGAACATTTTTTTTCACGTTTGTGGGCCATTTGCACTTCTACTGAGAAGTGCCTAATCATTTCACTTGCCTATTTCTTGACTGAGTCTTTCATTTTAGGTGGTCTAATTTTCTTGAGTTTTTTATGTATTCCAGATACCAGTTTTCTGAAGGATAGCTGGAAATTTTTTTTTCTTTTCTGTGGATTTATCTTCACTCTGCTAAGTTATTCTTTGCTGTGCAGGTCTGTAATTTTGATGAGTTGACTGATAATTGAATTTGTTGATTCTGGAAGTTATTTCTTGTGCTTTTGTGTTCTGTTTGGGAAATCCTTTCCTATACCTGAGACTTTGCGTTTTACCTGTTTTTTTCTTCCTGTAGGTCCAATGTTTCTGTTTTTATGTTTAGATCTTTGATCAATTTTGGTTTTAGTTTAGTACAAAATGAGAGATACAAGTACGGTTTCAATCTTTTGCAAATATATTCAGTTTTCCCAGCACCATTTGTTGAATAGGTATCTCTCCTCCAACATAAGCTTTTGGTCTGTTTGTCAAAAAACAAGTAGGTGAATGTGTCTGGGGATGTTTCTGTATCCTCTTTTCTGTCCCATTCATCCACATGTCTCTTTTTGTTCCAGTACCATCCTGTTTTTGTTACTGTTGCTTTTAGTGTAGCTTGAAATCAAGAAATGTGATGCCTCCTGCTTTGCTCTTTTTTTCTAAGATTGCTTTTTGCTGTCCTGGGTTTCTTCTGGTTCCATGTGAACTTTAGGATTGTTTTCTCTAGTTATGTGAGTATGCTGTTGGTATTTAGATTAGCTTTCCTGATTCTGTATTACAGTTTTAGGCGTGTGGCCATTTTGACAATATTGGTTCTACTTATCCAGGACCAGGGGACATCTTTCCATTTTCTGATATGCTCTTTTATCTCCTGTTTATTTTATTTTTTAATATTTTTATAGAACTTTTAAAAGATGAATTTTAATTTATAATGTATATATGTTGCATATTTTATATACATATAGCTTCAGATTTTCACTAGTGACACAATGGTGTTTACACATGTGTGTATGATTTATTTCACTTATGAATATGGTTTCAAGTTGCATTTATTTCCTTATAAAAGTCTCAAGTTTTCCTTCTTTATGGATGAGTAGTACACCATTGTATAAAGATACCACATCTTTTTTATGTATTTCTCAGTCAATGGGCATTTAGGTTGTTTCCAAGATCTAGCTATTATAAATTGTGTTGCTATAAACATAGTACACATATGTCACTGTGGTATGATGTTTTTAATTCTTTTGGAAAGATTCCCAGAAGGACAATAGCTGGGTTGAATGACCTCTAGTCCTAGTTATTTGAGGAATCTCCACACTGACTTTCACAGTGCTTACACCAGTCTGCATTCCCACCAACAGTGGAGAAGGATTCCTTTTTCCTCACAGTCCCTCCAGCATTTGTTATGGCTTGATTTCTTGATAATAGCCATTCTTTCTGGGGTGAGGTAGAATCTCAGTGTTGTTTTAATTTGCGTCTCTCAAATGATCAGTGATGCTGAACATTTTTTCACATATTATTTGCTGTTTATATTTATTCATCTGAGAAGTGTGTATTTATCTTGTGTCCTTTGTAGAGATCTTTCACTTCTTCGGTTAGGGTAATTCCTGGCTATTTCATTTTTCTTGATGTTACCATGAATGGTGCCCCCCCCCCCATAATTTCCTTCTTATTGAGTTCATTATTGGTTATGCACAAATGTTGTTGGTGTTGTAATCTGCTATATTGCTGAAGTAGGTTATTAATTCTAAGAGTTTTGGGTGGAATTTTTGGGTCTTGTGTAGAGTATCATGTCATCTGCAAACAATGAATGTGAGTTGTTTTGCTACATGTGTCTCTTTTATTTGTTTCTCTTGCCTAGTTGCTCTGGCTAATGTTTCAAGCATGATATTATGTCAGAGACAAGTGGCATTAGTGAGCTGGGCATGGTGGCTCATGCCTATAATCCCAGCACTTGAGAGACTGAGGCAGGAGAATCATTGTGAGTTCAAGACCAGCCTTGACTACAAAGTGAGCTCAAGCCCAGCCCAGACTGCATAGTGAGACCCTGTCTCAAGAAACCACCAAAGGAGGAGGAAAAGAGAAGGAAGAGGAGGAGGAGGTGGCAATAGTGGGCATCCTTGTCTTGTTCTTAATGTTGTCTTATTTTTTTTTTTTGTTTTCATTTTAATTCTGTGCCATGAGGTTAAAACATACAAACCACAGTTTTAGATACAGTACTGGCTAATTAAAAAAACACCAAATGATCATTTGTATACATTCCTCATCTTTAATTTTGCATCTTGTTATACCAAGGTACTGTTAGCACAGTTCTAATTCCTTACAAACCTATTTATCAGGCATTAAGATGACAGTGCAGCATAGTACAACACAGGATGTTTCCTTTAACAAAGTACATCAACAGTATTCAGTAAATGGTTATGTAGCGAACTGATCTGGAGGGTAATG